AGAACAGCAAAATTATAATAACGTTTTTGTCGATAACGAGTAATAATTGAACGATGCTTTGGGCAATTAAAAGCAAGATTTCCTGTCCTACAGTATAAAAATCCGGAATCAATTAGAAAAAATACCATCGACAATAATTTCCTGCGTTGTTCTTCATAACATAGCGAAATGTTTAAATGATGAAGATTTAGATTACGTGCATCATGAAGCTGATGCTGAAATTAACTTAGACACTGTCAATTTAACTACAAATTTAATTCGTCACTAGGACAACAAAAAAGGCAAATATTGATTGAAATGCTCTTCAATTATCATGTAAGTAACAACTGGTACGTATATACGTGTAGGTACACAATTAAAACAGATCAGAAATACTACACCGTTATTAAACAAATGGAAACAGAACAATATAATTCTTAGGTAACCTATATTCACTTAAATTCAGATTTTATTAATTTTTGATACTCGATGTAAACCCTAATTAAAAATTAAATTCTAAATTAAATAATTAATAATAATTACAAGTTGTAATACATTTTTTTCCTCCGAAAAACTACTGTTTGGTATAAAGTTACCATCACCTTGCTTATGTCTCTTATGATTCTTCTTGTTGCATTCGACATAATTTCAACTGCACTAATAGAACTAATCGCTGCAACTCAGCAGTTGATAATTTTTGGTTCTTCAGTTTCTGGTAAATGCGACATCTTAATTTTCTTTGCAGGAATAGTAATTTCTTTTGCACTTGAGGGTGCAAGAGTGTCACTGATGGCCGAGGTAGAGGATTCAGCAAGTGTTATGCTTTCGTTGGCTCCAACAGAGACAGCACCTGAATGATTTATTTTGATGTTTAAAAAAACCTACGATACAATAAAGTTTAATTAGCTTTATCTGGTATTTTTTTGAAGATGGGATTCTTATGTACTTCCAACATTTTCATTAACAACTTTTCCCAAGACTTATAGATTATAGCTTTATTGCCTGTCTTATTAATATCAAATTTCTTCTTTATTTCGGTCTTCATATTACTTATTTTTTTTGCAAACTGCTTTGTTGTAAGTGTCGCGTTAAAAATATCTTTATATTGTTGTACTAAAACCTTTAAAGCGGCTTCCTTTTCTATTTTAACTTGTGGACTTGCGATTTATTAAAAACGATTTTTTATTCTTTTAATTTATGCATAAATAACAACTGCTTATCCATTTCTTCCTCATCATGGGATTCGTCACTTCCACTTGAATCAGCCATAATTTTCACTGCCTTTTCATTTTTTACCGAAAAATATGTTCCTAATCCCACCTACTAAGTTGTGCCGAATGTAAGAAACTCGGAACTAAACTGAAATAAATGCGCGTATCGACTCCTAAACATACTTGCAAGTCTAAACGCGTTGAACACATACATATATAAGCAATTGCTATTAAGATTCGGGAAATGCAGCATTTGCTTAAAAATATTATTCATTGCAAAATTTAGCAATTGCTTTTCCTTACAGAAATTGCTAGTTAAGCAATTGCTTTTGCCAAAAAGTAATTGCTTAGTTTTTATCCATTAGGCTCAATCTTGTAAGTTGTAGTGTTAATATTTCATTTTTTGAATAAACGTTATTATTATTATTATTGTGTGCTGCAAAGGACTGTTAGGGGAATAACTTACAAATCCGCGTATCAAAGTACTCTATTGAATAAATATGATGAATAAATAATGTACTAGCTATATCTGGCACTGCAGAATACAACACACAGAGTAGAATGGTAAAAAATGACCCCTGAGGACAACTGCCCCCAGAGGAGGAATATCTCCATGTGTCAACCCAACTAGTTTTTATAATCGATACAATTCCTACTTGGGGTGAGAGGAATACATTATTGCTGATTATGCCTACTGATCATCGGATGTGGTTTCGTATGTTTATTCGTAGGCTAGCGAGCTGAAGCGTATAATGCCTTATTGGGTGGTCACTCCTGGCAATACCTGCCATGCTTGAGAAGCTTCTTCATTGAAATAGTATTTAGAGAGCCGCAATTATAATTATTTTGGCCAAGTTTCACACTCTGTATACAACAGTAGCTATTTAGCAATTACCACTCCTAGTGTTTTTGGTTAGTTAGTATACTAACCTGAGAAATATTATACGTATACATGACGATTTCTCTATATCTATAACGGATTCATATCTCTTAGATATAGGTACCAGTGACCTTGGTTGAACTGTCCATAAAGCATCTTTAAGCTATGGATGTTAACATAAAAATTATCTAACCACGACAATGATTTTACTATGACCAAAATTGACTCACATCTTAAAATGATGAGCAATCATAAAGTAGAGCATGATTTCCAATCCAATGCATAATGTGTTTCGCCATGATGGATAGCGCCCTCTAAGGATTCCATTAAAAAATGTGACCATATAATACCAGTATTTAAGCATCTCATGTTGCATCGTTTTCAGGTAGTATCCCTTTTCTTGCAGAAAAATTCAAAATGATCCGCCTTTGGTTCCATAAGCCATTAGCTACTTGCCATTATGTGTATAGAGCTTAACAGCATTTTCTACTGTATGCATTCCGTCTGTTGTCTGTTCTCTGTTGTGACGGCAATACTGAGGATAAACGGTAACAAAAAATGCACTAAACAAACCACAGGAAAAACAGATTTCTACTAGTCCTCATGTTTTACAGTTATATACTTAGCTTGCATTTTGTTTACATATGCTAGACTTTGCCAGGCAGATAAAATCGTAAATATTGTTCTGAACATAGCATACAAGTCGCGGCCCAAAAATTCGCTGTTAGATGAATGGATGCTGTACTATCACTTTAGAAGTCAGCGACAAAAAATTATGATAAACATTTGGATTAAAATATTCTCAAAATCGCGGCTCTCCCGGTTATACCGGAAATAGATACTTTAATTTCTTAATACTATAATGTTTTATACCTAAGCTTAATCGTATTTAACAAAAATTTTGTGTCAAAAATTACAACAAGGGACACACAGAAATAATATTTGTGAAAAATGCAGTTAAAAATGAGAAAAAAGGGTCGCTGGAATGATATAGTTTAACAATAATTCTAAACAATAAACAACGACAGATTAAGATGTCTGGGGTCCGACGCACAAAGCCCTTATGGGGCTCCTGCACAGCTGACAGCGGGTGGTGCAAAGGACCGAGAATATGGATGGAGAGGCCCTTGTGGCAGTGCGAAATTTTGGCCCACCTATCCGCCGCTCACAATAAAATATAGTTAGACGTTGTTTGAAACGGAAAGGACTTCAGGCTCTACATCAGCACCAGTGACGCCACTCCTGTCTCTGACAAGGTGTTTCAGGTTCATTTTCTACTACCTTTTCCTGAATAGAGCCCTCATTATATACCTATATTATCATTTTTAACACTCATCCGGCAACATTCCCACAGAAAATAGCGCTCTGGGTTCGGAATATTATTTCGACAGATTTCGCTTTAGTTTATTATGAGACTCTTATGCTGTACATGTAGGGCTTCTTCTGCTAACTTTTACTAGTTGTCCAACATTCGCATCAGCATTCACAACATCACCTCAAATGCTATTTGAACGATTTCGGACAAAAAATGCGAAACTGTATGATGTAATGATTCATCAGATTTCTGACGAACACATTTTGGTCGAAAGCGAATCCACTAACCGGGTGACACTGCAATATTAAATATATCTCAGATGTCTGTTAACACCCTTGATGTCCATAAGAAATGTGATGACAGACAGTATAAGTGATGTATGTCATCATAAGTATAGGCACATTTTTGTGAAAAACCATTTACTTGAAATGACATGTTCTTCAAATAAATTCTAAATGTATTAACAAATATAAAAATATCGCATCTTCCCTATTAACTATTTATACTAGGATTTTGCTGTTTTATTTGAATGAAGAATGAATTGCGACAACCAGCAAAACCCTGAACGTTTTCCCTTTCTTCCAGAATCTTGTTCAAGAATCGAATGTCCAATGGGCAAGCACTGTCTCCTGGACCAGAATCTCAGGCCGCACTGCGCCGCTTGCCTCCGTCGATGTCCGAACTTCCCGGATGGTGGTACCAAGAGGGTGGTGTGCGCCGTGGATGGTAAGACGTACCCTTCTGCGTGCCATTTGCGATCTGCCGCGTGCACGGCCGGTAGGGCGATACCAATCGTATATCGAGGACCTTGTAAAGGTAAGTGCTTCTTTCTTCCGTTGATACTACTCTAAGCCTGAATATTTCATCATCGTTTCAAGAACGTCCTGAGATAATACCGTTAACTTACCGAGAACTTCCTGAAGATGATCGTTAAATAATGCCATATCTGCCAAAGGTACCATTGCTCGACTATCATAAAAGTTGTGTGTACGCTGGTATGAAGAAGCTGCCAAGGTGGTACCTATTGCCTCCCAATAACTCTGTAAGGATGAGTCAATAAGGTAATCTTATCAAAAGGTGCCATCACCGTACGGCTGTTTGAAGATGCTGCCATGGTGGTACGTATTGCCTATCAAGAACTATGTAAGGACAAGTCCTTCTATGTATACATCGTCAATGTTATCTTTGCATAAGGTACTATCTCATTGTCGTCATGTATGGTTCGTGGACCGTGGTATCAAGAAGCCGTCAAGGTAGTACCTATTTTCTACCTTGTATAGCCGAGTCCTTCGATACATTGTCAATAAAGTTATCTTAGTCAAAGGTACTATCAAATAAGTTTTGCGTTCGGTGGTACCAAGCGACCAAATAGTAGAGTGGTACCTATCGCCTACTGAAAACTTTGTTAGGATGAGCACCTCCGATACATAGTCAATAGTAGTAGAAGTGATCATAAGTGCAGTGGTCGCAAAACACAGAAAGCAACAAGATCCATTGGAATTTTCCCTGTGAACACTGTTGGGTATCAACTGCACTCTCCCTTGTTTCAGCCAACGCCACCTGCAGCACGATCCGCTGTCGGCCTGGTGAGCGCTGCCTGCGAGACCCTACGCGCGCGGGTGCGCCCCGTTGCGCCCAGTGCACCCCTGCCGCGTGTCGCGCGCGCCACTGGCGAGGTCTCGCCGGTGGCACCGTCTGTGGCACCGACCGCATCACGTATGCCTCATGGTGCCATATGCAGCAAGCGGCGTGCCGTAAAGGCGTCGTGGTGGAGACCAGGCATGTAGGGCAGTGTGCGCCTAGCTTGACCAAGAAGAAAATGGCTGGGAAGGGTCGGGGGAAACATGTAAGTTGAGCAGCTTTTCTTTTATTTCTTCATGTCGTATAGTTGTTTTCTAATTGGACTAATTGCATTGTAACATAGTAGACGTCAGAGATGTTGTGTCCGTTTACACTTTTTGCGTCTTTACAATACCGACACACTTATTGAATAGAATTTTTATAATACAGATCAAAATAATGCAAAGGTCGACAGCAACCGTAGCGAATTCAAAGTAAATAGCCCGAACCCATATGTGTGTAGTCCAAAATTAATATACCTTGCCTGGGCACCGTAAGGAGCCTGCCCCCATCCTGCACTCGTCGCAGCCACCTTAAGCAGATTTGCCAATTATTTAGTTGATTGATTTAGTCGTAATTGGTTGACGCTTTTACTACTAACTGAACGAAACTAGTGAAAACTTTTATTTCTGCTTTGAGTCTCAAACCTTCTCATTCCTAGGCTCTCGAGTCTTTTAAGGCATCTATATGACCCTCTCGAATACCTAACAAAAATGTAAACAGATACAAATTCTCTGTCGTCTAAGTACCAAATAGGAGGAAAGTAGCAAAACCCATCCTATGCTAATATTAATCGTACATAGCGACAACAGATAGATCAATAGTGTAGGATAAGCTGCGCTAGTCTCGTCCAATTTAATAAAAATGATAACACGACCGTCCGTAAAATATTGTTTGAATATCGTGCTTTTGTCTGACAGCTAACCATAGATAGCTAATTCGTGCTTTTTGGCGACTCATCACCATGGTATTCGCTTGATGCCTCAGACAACGAACGAAAGCATAGCAACCATACACTATCAGAAGTGTGAACTAAGACAACGCGAAGCGCCATCTACCCTCAGTAGAATGGACCACTGCGAACAGTGATTTGGAGCCTACCGGTTGGGTCTGTATAAACCTCCGTCCGCAAATTGGAGGCGCAGTTAGCACATGACCAGTAGATGATGACGATTCTAGCTGTGTAGTAGATGTGGTCTACTTGCCATTGTTCGTAGTGGTCGATTCTAGTGGTAGATGACGCTTCTCGATGTCTTATTTTGAAAGTATTGTTTATTGTCGAACACGAAAAGCTAACGTTTACTGAGAACCGTTCAAAAATATCAGCTAACTTCACGCGTAGATACCTTTCTCATTGATTCTTGAATCGTTAGGTTAGGTTAGGTTAGGTTTCTTGTGAGTGCATCAATAACGTTCCTCCGCTGCGAATCCTTGGTCTATTATGGCTAACACCTATTTATATTTCCCCCAGTAGCTCCGACCTCCTGAGGAAGTCGATTAACTTGTTTGCAGAAATATCGTTCAGGTCTTCTGCTTGGAGAACTACGTCTCCAAGTATGTTGTACCTGATTCTGGCATTTGCAGGGCATCTGCACAATACATGCCTGACTGTTTCATCTCCCTCCATGCACAGTCTGCATTCAGCGTCTTCCGCCATGCCCAACCTGCTCATGTGGTGACGCAATTTGCAATAACCAGTGTACAGTCCTACTAGAGCTTTAAGGCTATTCCTGTTCAGCCGTAGCAAAGAGTCTGTTACCTTCATTGTCAAGATTGGTATAGTTGGCCTTAGCATGGGTTAACCCTGCTAATCATTCGCAGTATTGATGAACCTTTCTGTCTGTCTCTGCAGAGATTATTTGTTTAGCCGTATTGTATGCGATCCCAATCGCTGGCTCAGGCCCTATGAAGGGTGTGCTAGCCCCACTCTTTGCCAGCGTGTCAGCTGTCTCGTTTCCCTCTAGACCTGTGTGTCCTGGTAACCATAGGAGACGGACTTCATTCCCCCCCCCATGTCAACGAGAGCTTCTTTGCAATTCCACACTAATTTCGATGTTGAGAAGGTGGAATCAAGTGCCGAAAAAATAACTATAGTTCTGTGTCTCAGTTGTCCTTCTGCGATCATTCTGGCACCTAGTTCTATAGCATATAGCTCTGCCTGGAAAATCGATGCCCAGGTTCCTAGGCTAACAGATTTTTTAATCTTTAGCTTCGGCATGAAGATACCAGCTCCAATACCTATCTCGGTCTTGTAGCCATCTATGTATGAACAGATATCTTTCCTTATCAGGCTAACTTGCTGTTCCCACTCTTTCCTGTGTGGAACTGTCACTGAGGAGGGTTTAGCATATTTTGTTATCTTTGGCATTACATCAGAAGGCAGTCCTAGACTGGGGTGGTTTAGTAAGTTCACCAGCATGTCCGTCTCCTCCATAGTGATATTGTCCATTATACCATTTGCCACATGATGTAGTCTATAAGATGTCCTTCTTGCCTCGCCCTGAATCGTTCAATGAAAACTAAATAGCGAATTAAAATTACGGTCTGTATGTGAATGATATGTCTAAGCGTATATTTTTTTATCAGATATCGCGATAAATCTTTCAGTTTCATTTTACCCATTCAAACGTTAGCTTTGCGTGCTCTACTGCTAGCAACCAGCCTTACTTGTTCTAGGAATTGTAGAAATGTACATATTCTTTTTGCAAATCGAAAGTACCAAAATGGAAGAAAATAGCATAGCGGATCGTACGCAATTGTGCTATTGCTGTGCACGATGATATCCGCTCACCGCGTTAGCAGTTGCGTAAGACCCTCTTGCAATTTGGTATTCGTTTAAAGCATTAACTAACGTAGGTAGCCAACTTAATGCTAGTATCTAGCGTCCACAAAAATTATATGAAATAAAATGAGATATCGTAACTTCATCTATGAGAATTTGTCACAGCTATTTTTCTCTATTCACTATTATACCTTGAAACGGTTAGAGTCCCATAAATGGCGTTATAGCTGACTATTTTAAGATGTTCGAGCATTTATGGGACGCTAACTTCTATAGTAAATATATCATTTTATCCCGGATGATTCTTTGGACGCGGGAATATAGCATTAGGTTGGCTACCCTCAGATATAAGACGTTAATCAATGCTTATAAGCAGTTTTCGTACCTTTTCTTTATGCGTACTCTTCGCAGCGTACCTTCTTGGTCTATCCATGCATGTGTGTTTCGACCTTTGCCTAGACACGTGTTAATTTAACCCACAGTCAGTAGAAATCAAACATTTCCATGCACTAGTCTACCAAATATCAGGAACTTACAAACCGTTTCTTCGATCTTTGCAAACTCATCTTCTGAATGATTGGTACCTTTGTTCAGTAATTTTCCCAAGAAAGTGCGTCTTCCATGGTGTTGGTGTCATATTGACTATGTATCTTTTAGCCTAAGCCTGTGGCTGCGCCTGCGTGGAAGTAGTGTAAAGTATAGGTCATTCGTTTTGCATTAGTGTGAGATTAGTGTCGGAAAAATAAATATTCAGAGTGATGCAATAGTTATTTTGGCGATGGATATTTTTAATCAACATTTTAATGCAACAATAAATTGATATCATATGTGTACTCAGATTCACAATAAATAATACGCGAAGTATCTCACAGCCTGTGTTGCATATCGTAACATATTCTAACACAATAACTATTTATTCGCAGTAATATTCTTGAAGTAAAACAAAATACCAAACAATTCTAAATCAAAACGATCACGCTTAAGAAACGAAAGTCGAAATTCAGTAAATGCACGGTGCAAATGCCCTATTTATGGGCATTTTCTAATTCACTTCGGTCGGACCCGAAACTGGACGCTTCCGACATGTCAAATGTGCCCATGTGTTATTCCAGACTATGATACCTTTGTACCTTCCATCCAGATCTGTTCAGTCATTTTGACGTGATTGAGTAACAAACTTCCAAAATTTTCATTTATAATATCATCGGTATGGATTAGTATGGAAATAGGGATTAGTAGCGTACTATCATCACATGACTAAGGAGGACATTATTCTATGTTCCGCATCCACCTTTTTTCAAATCACGATTTTGATTTGAAAGAAAGATGTGAGTATTTGCTTCTTGCTTTGTGAAATGCTGTCTATATCGCTTTAGCTAGACCGATTTCTTCTCTAGGCTTGAACTGAATGTTTGGAATAATACTGCTTCCTACATGCTTTTTGCCGATTTTACTACATACATTTATTCATATATACAATGTTTTTTCTAACTTATGTATGTTCAGGAAAAACGGAGAGGTATTAACACGAAAAAATCCTTACAACTGCTGCACTATCATAATCAACATAAATCATAATCAGGATACAGTTACAATTACTGTTTACTACGCTTAACTATTTAGTACAAAAAAGAGATACGGGTATACTTTGTAAACCAAAAGAAAAGAAACAGCTGTACGATGCTTATGATATACGGTTTGGTGATAGTTTTTATGCACAATTTCATTCACACGCAATCAAAGCGCGTTACTTGTTTTTCAGATGTTAGATCTAACAATCATATAATATTTTTAATGTTTCTAGCGTGCTCAGTGGTCATTTATGACTCTGAGAGTGAAGTGTGCAATGTGCTAATCGGTGCTGTCGTATACTTCATTCAAAAATTTTAGACTCATTATTATATTCGGTTGTATCTTTCGACAGCTTCTTGATCCCCCAGACGTCATCAGTTTAGCGGAGTCAGTGCTTGTTTTTTTAGAGTATGTATTATAATTTGTGATATCCATTTTTGGCGCCATCAATGGATAGTTCTTCAAAGTGAACTGGAATGCAATTTTTTCTAGTTCAAACCTGGGCACTCCTCAGTATGTTTTACTTGGAGGTACCTAGACCCTCACACTTGACTGCTAATAGAAAAGGTTGGGGGGATTAAGAAGCTCATGAGAACTGCTACTGTATATGGTAAATGGGCCTTAAGCCCGTATGTCTGGGTCAAATTTTTCATATTTATTATACAATTTACAAATTACATCCAATTTCTCTCAGCATACTTATATATATTATTCTAAATTTCGCAACAAATTGGATGTAAAAATGCGCGAATGATAACCACGCTTCCGGTTTCGTTCTATTGACAAAAAGAGGTTATGTCTACAAAGCATAACTTGTATGAATATTTGCTTGCAATAATTTTCAGCTAAAAAAGTCTCAAAAGATAGATTAC